ATATTGTGCTTTAAAAATATGGATGATAGTATCAGCCGCTCTTTCAGCCACTTCAAAAGCAACAGTTTTTGTTTAGAAATAAATTATGCAGTTAATGTCATAAAATTTTTCATAAAATTCAAATAAATCAAACGAAAATTCTCAGTTTTAGACAATTCGATTTAAACGAAGTAAAGTAGCAGACGATAAAACGCCGAAGGTAAAAATTTACTCTTAAATTTTTTTGAAAAAAGGAAAAAAGAGAGAAATTTAAAAAAAAATAGTTAAAAATTTGAATAATATAATCTATAATTTAAAAAAATAGCTTTTCATATAGTATTAATAAATATTTATTACGTATCATTGAGGGAAAAAATTTTATATAATTAATTCTCCGTAAAATTTTACTTGAAATTTAAGGTTAAAAATAGCTGTGGCAATTCAGTGTAACAAAAATCCATAGACCACATTTGGCGTTATTATCGCCCAAAAAAAGATGCCAAATTTAAAACGCGAAATATGTAAATTCGTGTATATCTTAGAAAATTTTGAATAAAAAGTCTAATTTTTTGCAGATATGCTTAAAATACACCTACTTTAAGATGATGGTAAAATTTTATAGGTTATAATTCAAAATTTTTTTCGAAAAATTTATAAAAATTATTTTAAAAATAGAAATTTAAAAAATAAAACACAAAAAAATGGGTAAAATTTTATTTGGAATGAACCTAAATTTCGAAATGTGAAAGGAAAAATCAATAAAAGTTTAATAAAAAAAAGAGATATTAATAAATATTTGCCAAATTCAATTAACATTGAGGAGCTAAAATTTTTGAGAGCTAATATTTTAAAAACTATACTCGTACGATTTTTTAAAACTTGGTATTCTTGCATAATTTGAGTCGTAGAATCAAAATATGTAAAAAAATTGGTATGTTATTTCAGAAAAAGTCCGATTTTTTGTGTCAAAATATCTTTGTTAGAATAGTGCTATATATAAATCTAATATATATCCTAAGTCGCACTTTTAAGGCATGAAAAACGCAGTTTGAATTTTGTCAATCGGCCCAGTAGAATGGGAGATACAGCACTGTCCCATTTTTTTTAGCAGTGTGCACCGATATATTTTTCACTTAAGAAGTCAAAGGAGCGCCCAATTCTACAGTAGAGGCAAACAAAAAATACATAATCTCAATAAACTACATTTTAAACCAAACAATAAAATAATATAAAAAAAAGGATTATGCATTTAAGCATTACACAAAGCAAATATCCACCTACCTCTGTGGCACATGAAATTCCTTAACAGCATCCAAAAACTTCCTAAAATTATCTGAACTAGAATCTGTATATCGGCATCACCACATAAATTCACAAAAGTAAGAGTCAAAAACATCCTATGTATTCCGACCTATCCCGAAAATGGCTACTAAGTACACCTTCATTTACACACCAGTCAATTAATGCACTTTTCCCCTTTCGTCCCAAATCATACAGAAACTTCAATTTAATCTTATTACATTCAGCCATTCTACCGTGTAAACAATGAAACAAGCAATGTATTTCCTAAACACACACACACCACAAAAGACCTTACAAAACATCGCATGATTCAAAATTTCTTGGAATAATGCAAACGATTACGTCATAATAGGGTTTTCATAATATTCAACTACTCAGGTTACCATAAATGAAGCAACTTCTTGGCAATAAACGAAACAACACTTGGCGATAAATGAAACAACAACCTCGCTATAATACAAGCGGTACCCTAAAGTCAATTCTAACCTCTTTCTTTGGTAATTTCCTCATTAATTAATTAATTCCACAATAAACTGTTTCTAGATTATATAATGTGCTTCCTCTAGGATCCTTTCTTTTTGGCTAAAAAAAGTACTTTTTTCTTTCCCATTTTACATAATCTCCTTTTCCCATAGACTTCCCGTTCATAGAGGTAGTTTTATGATAATTTTTAGTTTGTTTTCTTTTTACATGAGACCCAATAACTCAACATTTTGTTTCTCATTTAGGTTGAAATCCTTCCATGCCAAGCATATTTTTAGCTTTCAAAAGAGGTTTAATAATAAGTTCTACCTATTCTTTCTTCTATAGTTGGATTTTAATTTCATTTAAATCATCTTATTATTCTTGATCCAATATGCGTCTTTGTTTTATTGTATTTTATATCATGTTCTTTACAAGTTAGTTACAAGTTATTATATTTATTCTAACTTTATCAACTTTTTTTTTCTAGTTTTATAAATGCACTATCATTGATATCACCTTAAATGCATATCGATAAGATTTATTTTATCTCATAACCATCGTACAATGTCACCTTCTTTAATTAAGCCTTTTATACCTTTTCCATTAATTTCTTTACAAATATGAATATTTTTCACAAATCATTTATATAGATACATATTTATGAAGCTTGCTATTTATATTTCTGGCTTTGGCAACAGTAAGTGTTGCTAGGCTACCATTGTTAGCTGTAAATAGCAAACTAACAGACACATTAAAGGCTCTAAGGTGTGAAGATGCACTAAATAAATTGAGATTTCATCTGAATTTGGTCCCAATAGTAGCAAAGAACTTGTTTTTAGTACAATATTTGTTGTAGTACAGTACAAAGTCCATAATCCAGACGTCCATTATCTGGAACGATCTATAATCTGGACCTCAAAGCGACAAACTTTTTTTGTATGCTTTATGCATGCACATAATGTGTTTACACATACGTGTTTAATGCGTGTTTCTGATGCGTGCTTCCGATAATGAAGAAAGTGACAGAGAGGTTATTGAAAATGAAAATATTTCAATTGACAAGTTAGTCGGTATTCTCGATTCTCGACACAGCAATTACAGGACTTGAACAGTGGAACTTTGTAACTGAACAAGAAATTATGCCTCTTTATAGAATTAAAAAGAAAGTATTAGCACAAAAAACGAAGCAACTTAAACAACTTACATTAAAAGAAATGTTTAATAAAGTAAACAAATAAATATTAAGCTTTATTACTTTTTTTTAAAGTTTGATACCCTTTAGATCATAACTGCTCTTTATTTCATAAACTATGGTTTAATATTTTTAATTGTATAATTTCTGCATGCCATCTTACCAGATTTAAATTGATGATCTATAATCTGGAAAAACCCCTAATCCGGAATCGCCGAAGTCCCGACGAGTCCAGATTACGGACTTTGTACTGTATTTCATATTTGCGTATTGTGTGGTGGTCATATTAGAACTATGTAGGATTTATTGTGTTTCCCTAGTTTTATAGTACAGTTTCAGCCTTACAACTGTGAGGTTGTTTACCATCCAGGCAGGCTAGATAAAAATGCCGATGACTGACTCATCTCAAAATAGAGGAAATGTGATGTCCTAGGATGTGATTGTTCCCATTCCTTTATTGAATATGTATTTTTATAATGTGTAATTATTATACCAGCCTAGTATATTAGTTATCTTTTTTTGTTTGTTTTGTTAAGCATATTGTGGTGTATATATATGTTCTCACCTTTAAAGGTATGCCTAATTTATTTATATGTAAATTGTCTATTAGTGACATTATTATTATTAGTATTATTGAAAGCAGGTATGTCCTTGCACAAATGTACTTTGAGGATACTATTTAGATGACAGAGGACTTTACCTCCTGTGAGGTTATTTTTACGAACTAGTGCAGATGTGAGGTGAGTTCTCTTGTCTGAACTTGAGAAAAGTTCTTCAAAAGGGATAAGGAATACAGATGTAATGTCTTCAGCTATTTTCTGATGACCACCTTGAAAGTTCTCAGAAAAAGAGTATTTCCTAACGATCAATAAGCAGTTCTCGAGAAAACTGACCGTGATCTGCCATCACGTACCATTCCGAAGTCTGTAGCCAGCTATCGTGTTTTCAGCTATTTCCAGATGACTGGCTCAGAAGTTCTTGGAAAAAAAAGGATATTTCTTAAGGACCATTTAGAAATTCTCGGGAAAGCTGAATGTGACCTGCATTCATGTGTCAGTCTCAAGTCTTCGTTTCCTTCATAGTTGTCCGAAAGAGAAACATTGTTTCCATCCCTTACATCTATTTATAGGTATTTTATTATGCATTGTCACAGATCACCTGGTTTGAGTCTCAATCTGGAACCAGAAAATTCTCAAGGAGAGTTCTCGGGCCTGTCGTCATCACATCTGCGGTTAGTCAGAGTGCTCTCACCAATCGAGAGACACTCAGAAAAATTTCAGACAAATGAGAATTAAGGAAATCATCCCAATATGCCCAGAACAACTTGAACAAAAACAAGGAATGCAGTTCCAGTTAGAGCAAGAGTTAGTTAATGATTTAGTTGCAGTGGAAATAGAGAAACCTTCTCTCATGTATTTTTCAGCTTTGTCAAGAGGAATTTCGTTTTGCTTTGCCAAGAGCATTCATGTCTCTCTACAAAGAGATTCAGTAGCCAGATTTGCCGTTACCTTAGCTTGAGAGCCAGGAGAGGTAACAACAAATCTGTTTGCCACACGTCAGATTTTCACCCTGCATCGTAAGAGGAAAACTCCATGAGAACTTTAACTCTTTCCGGCATGCTACCTTTTAAAGTCAGAGTTTTGATTTAAAGAAAAGGTAGGAAGTCTAATTAGGCCTAGAGGAGTACACAAGGAAAATTTTGTGAAGATAGCACTTTATCGTTTTAATTCTGTGGCTGTTCCCAAAGTGGCACACTGATTGAATAGAGCTTCAAAAAGCGTGCTGAAATGAGTATTGTTGTCTATGAACTGACCGATGAGATGCGGAGAAACAAAGAATACAGACTGTCAGTTGTCCTAGATTATTGGTGAGCCCGTTTTAGCCATACCTAGGGTCGCCGTTTGATTTTAGGCAAGATTTCAAAGTAAAAATTTAAAACTAATATAGAATAAGGAATGTGAATAAGGTAAAAATTTAAAACTAATGTAGAATAATGTGGTTTTGTAGCAAAGAAATTTGTCTTTACTGATCGTGCTACTTTATATTTTATTCTGAATAGTATTTAACTGATGTAATTTTATTTTAAATTATAAAAATACATTTTCTGATACAATGTATTAGTATGAACCACAATATTTTAAAATTTATTCTTGCTACAAGGAAACTTCTAAAAACCATTTCTTATCTACAAAAGGTATTTCAAAATGTCTGCATGAATAACAATTTTTTTTGAATGATTTACCTAAATGTGTGGCTCTTTTTTTGATTATGAAGTAGGGATTTTAATTTGTAAATCAGAAATACAATTTAAAACAGATTTGAATTCTTTATGGATTTCTTTTGTATTATTCATAGATTTTCATTTCTGTTAATGTGAATGAAATAAAACAAGAAGCAGGTAGTGAGTGCTGGCATGTTGTAGGACACATTCAAGCAAGGCAGTCAATCAAAGATGCTGCTTCTTTTTCCTATCATTCGATAATTTCTGGTGTGTAGAAACAATTCCAAACAAGTCAAACAGTTGTCTGGAGACCTGTGCTTAGTCGATCAAGGATTCATCCCCTTCTGAAGATCTGCATATAGCTGTAGTTAAGTAGTAGCTATAGCCAAGTAATATATATTGTTAGTAGCCATGTATAATCAATGAGTGATATTCCACAGCTGTTACATTCATGTTTGCATCATCTCTTGGTAAGACAATAACTGCCAGCACTGGGTGCCAAAGTTACACATGAAGAGATTGTACGGCTAAAGACAGGGCAGGGACTAGACATTTTGCTGCCTGGTGCAATATCTGTGGCTTGCAAGTTATGCTGCCCAATGACTGTGTAAGTTCTAAAAATTTTGTTGTCCCTAAATCCTGCCGTTTGATGCACCCGAACAGGCTGCACTGGCCTCGCATGAGAGAACCAAGTATTTTTATTCTACTAACCACGAGGAGAAGTAAGAATAAAGTGGTCTCCTCAACATCTCAATTGGACTGTCTCAGATTGATGCAATAACCTATTCATGGAAGAGTCAAGATTTATCCTGAAATCTAATGATAATTGTGTAAGAATATAGAGAAAGCAAAGTATACGGAATCAGGCCCAGAACATTATCGAAGATAACACATTTAGATATGGTAGCATCATGGTGTAGGCTGGAATTTCAGTGGGATAACACACACAGCTGCATGTATTTAAAGAAGATTCTGTGACAGATGCATGATATCAGACCGAAGTCCTACATTCCATTGTGAGACTCTGTGCCACAGCAGTTGGTCTTGATTTCCTTCTTATGGATGATGGATGATAATACAAATCCCCATTGAGCCAACATCGCTAATGAGTACCTAGAGAGTAAGGATGTTTCTTATGTAGAATGTTCACTGTATTCTCCTGATCTTAATCCCAATGGAAGTTTTCGTGATGCCCTCAGGTGTGCTGTCTCTGCATGTTTATCTCCTCCAGCCAGACTTGGACAATTGGAATCTGCCTTAATGGAAGAATAGCCATTGCTAGCACTTGTAATAGTTGATCTCCTCATTGAAAGCATGTGCAGTTGCTGTAAAATTTATGTAAAGGTCTGAGGTGGTGACTTGGCTTATTAATGTAAGTTTTGTTTATTTCTTATTAGCTTTAAACACCAATTTGTTAATGACGCAAATGAAATGTCATAATTTTCTTTATGGCGAGCACCAGCCATTTTAGGCTTTCCCCAAATGTAATGTCAGTATAAAATTTAAAAAATTTAAATATAGTTTTCATCTGTCTACATAATGCTTGTTTCTGTTCCACACATAAACATATTTGCTACCTTTGTATGTAATTTGGAATTAAATGAACCTTTTTTTTAATTTTTGTTGATTTTACTATTGTGTGTTTAACTGTTGGAAGATAGTGTTATTTATCTGTATGTTGTATGTTTTAATAGTTATTATAAGAATGAAACAAAACCAAAAATATTTATTGTGCTTAATATTAAATTTTTGTTAGAAATAAGTCTTTTGCACGAAAAAGGGCAAAATGAAACTGTTTAAAATTTATGATAATAAATAAAATCTGAATTACTGAAATGTTCTTTATTTTAAAGGGTACAAAATCAAGTTGAAAATGAAGTCTTCAGATGATTCTTATGCTCATATATTGCTGAAAGGACCCATTGTCTTGAAGGACATTTGTTATTTCATAAGAAATATTCTCCTTTCATTTGTGGTATTTGCAAGGAAACGTTTACTCAGAAATGTAATCTTCTGGTTCATTCAAAGACTCATGCTGATGACCGACCGTATATCTGGGAAACATGTAACAAATCAATTTAAACAAAAACAACATATACATGATCATTTAAGGATCCATGCTAAATGGAAAGTGGCCTTATGTTTGTGGGGTGTATAACAAAAGTTTCAGGATAAAATCCCATCTTGATGGACATTTAAAGATGCATACCAGTGAATAATCATATCAATGCACATTTTATGTTAAAAATTAGAAACCTAAAATTTTAATGCATTACTATTATTATGGTTATGTGCATCAGTAATTTTAATTTCTCTTCAAGAGTATGATGTTTTGTATGATACAATTAAGTAATATAGTTTGTTATTTTTCAGACATTTTAATTTTTCTTCAAGAGTATGATGTTTTATCTGATATGATTATGTAATATATTTTGTTATTTTTCAAACCAGAAATATATTTTAGTAGTTTTTAATTATCCTTGGCATTCTTGTTGATTTCATTTAATGCTTATGAGTTCATATTATGGTTATGTTACTGTAAGAGCTTTGTGGTTCACAAGTGTTTTTTATGTACAGGAGTTTTAGTATCATTAAAAGAAAGCAGCAGTTATAGAAGAATAAATGACTTGGTGTTTCAATAACCTACTATGGGAAGTTTTTATGTCAAAAATATTTATGCAGGAATTTTTGGATCAGAAAATTTTATTTGCTGGTAGAATTTGTATTAACAGTGAGACATCAAGATATATCTGCTGATAAAAAGTTATAGCCATAATTAATTTGTTCAGATAATAGAATTGTGGAATTTTTTTAAAACACTAATTTTTGAAATTTTCTTTATATTATACATATAGCTTTATTTTATAAGTAACCAAATTTAAGTTAGGAATCCAGATATTCTTTTTACTCTATGTTACTGAAAGAATAACAGATTTTCAAATCATTTGCTGTGCCATAAGAAATATTTTCCTTTCATTTGTGATACTGGCAGAAAAAATTTACTCTAAATTGTAATTTTGAGACATACTAGATACTACAGTCAAAAGTCGTTAATTCAGACACCCATAATCCGGACCTCAAAGCGAAAATCTTTCTGCGCATGCGCCGCGTTGACGCATGCACATAGGCGTTTTGCGCGTGCGCGCAAGACATTTACGACTGCGCATATGCGTCTGCGCAAGTGCAGAATATGTTTTCGCGTGAGCGTTTAATGTATAACGGACGGTGTAAGCTAAAATTATCTAATTATCTATTTCAGTTAATGTTGATGATTGCGTTGTTCCTTAATCTTTGAATTGGATCTGGCTTATTATTTTTTGCAGACAGTAAGAGCAATTTTATAAAAGTAAGCTTGAACTTTCGATTATGTCAAATAGAATTTCCGATGCTGGAGCTCCTAAAGGATCTAGAAAACGAAAGTATGTTTTGATGTCCATCAAACAAAAAACGAATTGCTACAAAAAATGGATAAAGGCATATCCTTTGTTTATCTAACCGTTCCGAAATCTGTTTATCAATTTCACGCTGCTCCGCGCGCGGGGGGGGGACATTGCGGCGCGCAATGAACTGGAAGTTGATCTATCAGCACTATCGTTATCTTCAGGGCAGATGTTTTTATTTTATTCGGCTTATAATTCCTTACTAAAAGTAGTATTTGATCTCGATGTACTCCGTCTTTGATATGATTTAAATCAAATTCCTCGTCATTATAAATATCACGAATACAAATCAAATAGTTTTCTGGTTGCAATTTTCTAATTTCGGCTATGCATAAGGTATGCTTTACGCATCGTGCGTTGAAAGAAATGTTTTAATAAAGTAAACAAATAAATATTAGCTTCTTTTTTATAAAATTTTGATACCCTTTAGATCATAATTGCTCATTATTTTATAAATTACGGTTTCATATTTTTAATTTTATAATTTCTGCATGCCATCTTACCAGATTTAAACTGATGATCTATAATCCTGAATCGCCGAAGCCCCGACGAGTCCGGATTAAAGAATTTTGACTGTATTATGAAATGCAATCTTATGTTTTGAAAATCTGGAGCAAAGCCACATGCAGTTGATCATTTAAGGACCCATAATGGAAAATGGTCTAGTATTTGTGAAGTGTATAATAAAAGATTTACTCAAAAGCGTAATCATAATTCTGACTTAAATCTTCATTCTGATGAAAGAAGTGTGTAACTAAAGTTTTACTCATTTTAAGTATGTCTTTAATGGTTTCCTAATTAGTACTACTTAACTGGTGCCTGCAACAAAACTTTTAGGAAAAAATAATGTATGCCAAATGTCACTTTAAATTTTTATGAATTATGATATCAATGTATTGCTTGTGGTAACAAGTGTAGGTATCAAATTATTCAACTTTCATTCTGGTCATACTCATTAATAATCCTCCCGAAAAGTAAGCTGTTTCATGTCATATTGCATTAATTATGGAAAGTTGTCTTTTGTTTTGCTAATGAAAAATATATTTTAAGATTTTGATTGGAATTATTCTTGGGATTGTCTTGTTTGTAAGAATCACATATGAAATGCAAATATCACATATGAAAGGAGGGTATCTCCTTTCATATGTGATATTTGCAAGAAATCTTGCAATCCGAAAAACAAGTTATTTGTAAATCTTTATTTATATATTTATGACAAATTTGTGTTTTGTGCATGTATTTTGTATGCTTGTGTTTTTAATGTTTATAATAAAAAAGACACACACAAAAGGGGAAAAAAAAACATGTTTTTACATTTCAAATTTGAAAAACTATGTCTGCTGGTAATAAATGATGCTGTTCACTAAATTTTGGAAAACAGCTTTTGATGTTTTCATAAAATTTTTATACATTAAATTTTTTTTTTTTTTTTTTTTTTTTTTTTTTTTTTTTTTTTAACATTTCTTTAAAAAATATAATTTTATTTTATAGGTCACCAAATTTGACTAGAAAGTGAAGTCTTCTGATGCTCGTTTTGCTCATATGTTACAAAAAAGAATTGTGAGCTTTATGAACATTTGCTTCTTTATAAGAAATACCCTCTTCATATGTGATATTTGCAAAAAATTTTGCACTCAGAAAAATAATGTTAAAGTTCATATGAAGCTTTACTTTCAAGAATGGCACCATGTTAGCAATGTGTGTAACAAAACTTTTTTCTGGAAACATCATTTAGTTCAACATTTTAGAATTCATACTGAAGAACAACCTAATGTTTGTGAAATATATGATAAATCATTTAGACTAAAGCATGATATAGTTAATCATTTAATGACTCATAGTGGAGAAAGGCCTAATGATACATTACGGAGTTTGTGAAATATGTAACAAATCATTTAAATTAAAACAACGTGTAGTTGAACATTTAACCCCTTTGTGGCATAGTGTCACACCTAAACATTTCCTTCTGTATGCACAGAAAAATTGAATGAAAAAGGATTTATAGGTTACTCTGAACCTTCTTTATGTATGCTAGATGGCAGCCCAACACAAACCAGTCCATATATTTTAGCCATGTATAGTTTTTAAGACCCTCATTTTTCAAGAAAATTTTCCAGATATTTTTAAGGATATAAAACGAATTGTTTGAAAAAAAATTCTTTGTTATTTTCTTGGCTGTATGCTAATCTCTGTATTCTATATTAGTTTTAAATTTTACATTGAACTGCAAACATCAGGTGTGCCCAGAGGGGGATCATGAGAGACTAGGATCAGACCAACAACTGTATCTTTACTAATTCAGAAGTCAAACAACAAAGATCAGCATTATATTTTCAAATTTTCACAGCCTGTGAATTTTTCAGTTTTTCACCTGTGAAAATTTGAAAATATAACGCTGATTTTTGTTGTTTGACTTCTGAATTAGTATTTGTTCGGCATGTTATTGTGTCTTAACTGTATCTTTGTTTCCCTGCAGCTCTCTGGTCAGCTCATTCACAATAGAAAGGTGGGTCCACATCTGTGTTCCTGTTTTTCTTTCTTTTTTGGGGGGTGGGGGAGGTTTGGTTATCAACTAAAAAATTTTTAGGGTGATTTTCTGAAGGTCAGGGGTAATTCTATCAATTAGCTGTTTGGTTTTCACTAGAGTGGTTCTCTTTTTTCTTTCGCTTTCATTCAAAGAAGTTCGTTAGCACTATGTGTTGTTAGTTTTGAGTTGTAGATGTTTATTTAATTTAGTTTTATATTGTAGATATAATATTAGTTCCCCCCCCCCGGACTTTTTAACTATTTTCTAAAAGGATCAGAGAGGGCGGGCCATTTCTGAAGCACTGAAAGTGCCACACAAATTGAATTCAGATAGCGAATCTGATACAGATCCCGTACATGTGCAAAACATGCAGTGTTGGGTTGTGCTTTTTTGAAGGTGGTGCCACTTTCTTCGAAAAGTACCACCATGGAAAAATAGAAAGTGTAAATATGAACTGTAAATAATGTAACTGTCATATACCCAAGTTACTTTTTTTTTTCATTTATATGTATGCATTCATCATATAACCAAAAAGTGCTATTTTAGGGGGTTGTAGAGTAACAGGCCTCCTCGTGTCACACCCTGGGTAATGCCATATCTGTTATGGTATTTAGAGTCTAGTGTTTTTTAATTGTAGGCAAAATGTCTTACTGTTTTACGTGCTTCCCAGCAACGCTCGTTTCAACACTCTTTTCAAAGCTCTTTTCACTCAATGTGCCTGCTTCGGGCGCATCCGCAGAATTAAAATGATAAGTGCTGTCTTCACAAAATTTTACTTGTGTCCTCTTCCAGGCCCGATTAGACTAAATATTTTTATTTATTTTATTTTTATTTATTTATTTATTTATTTATTTTTTTTTTTTTTGTCGAAATTCCAACTTTAAAAGGTAGTGTGCGGAAAGGGTTGAAGCCCATACTGGAGCGTGACATTATGTTTAAGTAATTAATTATTTAAACTGAAACATCTTGTATTTGACATTTAAGTAATCATACTGTAGAATGGTATTATGTTTGTTAAATGTATGACAAAGGCTTTACTCAAATAAATGTTCCGAATTAACATCCAAGGATCTACAAATTACGGTGGCCTTATGTTTGTGGAGTGTACAACAAAGGTTTTAGGAGAAAATGCCATTGTGATAAACATTTGAAGATGCATATCAACATATAGCTGCCTACTGTCTTGTGTTTACAGCAGAACTTTCAGTTTTCATCACATTTCCCAATCAACTGGCAGATCACCTAATCTGCCTGTTTTTAATTTTAAGCCTTTATTCAGGAAAATGCTTTATAGCAATAAATGAAATTTATTGAGTTAATGATACTTCAGTTTTTCAAATTCCATTTTCACGTACGTGTGATTATCAATATATTTTTTCTTTTAAATTCACTCTGAGGTTCTTTTTTTAGTGTCATAGACATTTGTAAAAATTTTTATGAAGATTCAGCCAATATTTAATCAGTTAATTTTTATATTTAATTTTCTGTTACCTCAATTAATGATACATTACGGAGTTTATCCCCACAATAGTATGTACATTAACTAATTTTATTTTTGTCGTATTTAAGAGTACTTTGAGAAATAAAATCTTTCCTGCCTTACTCAGAATTTTCTCAGTATAAATGTGTAAAAAAGTAGAATAAAATTACCC